TTCGAATGTACGGCAAACGAAGACCGAAACAGTCATGGGGTAAGGTCTTAACTCAATCGAAGATCACGCGAAAGGTATAAAGGGTCTCCAAAATGGTCCTGGCTCCTCAGATCTTCTCCAACCCGCAGATACATCCAACTAGCCAAATAGTAGGCACTCACTGAAGATCCTGCATTGCGCCTAATTTCCTGTCCCTCCCCCATAGTGTATTTCTCTGCTGCCTTCACCGCTGTTGTCATGGCCGCCAGCGCCGCCGGCCAGGCCGTCGTCCAGTTCTCCACCTCGGAGGGCTGCGTGTCCTTCTCGCAGACCTTCGAAGGGAGCTGCAACTTCTGCTCCGACCCCCCCGGCAGTACGTGTGCTTCGTCGGTGCAGCATGGAGCCCTGCTAACATGAGACAGACTTCGGCTCTGTCCTGTTCTCAGGGATCAGCTCCGCGAACCGCGTCACCGTTCACAACGAGGACGGATGTACTTCCGCCTCGCAGGTCGGCCAGGGGTTCGGGGATGCGTGCTGGAACCAAGGCGCCACCTCGCTTCGCTCGGCCTGGGTTGCGTGCCCCGGGGACGCGGCGCGGTAAGTTGGCGTCCTAAAATACTATTTGACGCACTCACTAACGCAATCGTTGGATTAGCTTGCCTGGCGACAACCAAACCTTTGTAGGAGACCACGCATCCCTGTCGAACTGAGCGAACCCGGGACACTATCCCAAAGGCGCACGAGCTCGATTGGTGAATTGGTGAACCGAAGAATTAGGAGTAGTAGCGTGCACATCGAGAGTTATTAATTTGAAAGAAAGAAAATGTGGAAGTCGACAAAAACTGCCGAAAGTGTAAATTTCGTGTCCGCTACGGAAGAATCCAGCTTTCGGTACTGGATCCGCGTGAGGAGCTCCGTCAGAATCGCTAGGTCGAGGATGAGAAGAGTGGCGAAGAGGGAGTCCTGCATTATTAGGTTAGAAAATTGTTACTAAAGGAGGGGAAGCATGCGCACTCGTTGAAAATATTGATGGTGGAGCGACCACCGCAGAAGATCTCGGAGTAGTACTCATCGATGGCGCGCTTGGAATCCCCGACCGCGGGCACGTATTTTATAACCACCTGAACGTGTGATGTAAATCAACGATGATGTTAGTTACATAATCGAAATGCATACGATACGATATGGTCAGGATGCTCTCCCTTGCTGGAAACGACGCCTTTAGACCCGATCTCAGGCGCTTTGTAGAGAAGGCAGCTGGCATCCACCATGTGATTGACGACGCTGCTCTTGCTGATTTCTTTGCTCTTAAACTGCGGCTCCGCGGACAGGTTGTGTCCGTCGTTGTTGCCCACATGGTTGTATGGCACACATACTGTCCAAAAAATAAAAACGACAATGCCCTAGCTGTTTCCGTTTTTTGCAACAATGAATCTCGTTTTTGGCACAAACAGAGGTGATGAGAATCACAGAATCTAACCCATAGATGAGTGTCTGTCCAAGAAAACAATGATGAGCGGGACTTAACAAAAAATACGCAACGGCCCGGCTGATTTCGTCGGCTCATGGTTGATCTCCGTCAATGATCTGACCTCTATCTCTTCGATTGATCTGGAGAAAGACCAGTTTGTGGGCTGCTACCGGGTTGCGAAAAGTCCGGGACAGATCCTAGCGCCATTGGACTCTCCCCCTGAGGCATGAGATGTGAACCATTTGGAGCTCAAAATATTTGTAGCGGTTTCCGGTGCAGATAGAGGTTCAGACCACCTGCAGAATTATGGAAAGTTCAGGTGTATGGGAAGTCACTCAGCTGGAGGACCAACTCAATGAAGGGTGCATTGCTTTTTTTTGCTGTCCTCAAACGAGACAAAGTTTTTTTTTTTTGGAAGTATTTGCATGGTGTTTGTTTGGGGTCCACATTACATCGTGTTTTTTTTGTCAGAACCTTCTTCACATGGTGTTTTTTGTCGCATTGCATCCTATATTTTTCGGACCGTATATCGCCCATATGGTTGTATGACGCGATGGAGAGCGGTTTAATCCCAGCGTTGACTAGAAACTCGGCCATGACAGACTTGAGCTTGGTCTGTCGGGACTTGAGATCGTCGCCGCCGATGAAGGACTGATGCCGTTCCGCGAGCTCGATGACGCCGGGCACAAATGTGTTCTGAGGCGCGCCGTTAACGAAGGTTTCCCCCTCAAGGATGGCTGCGACAGCGAACGGAGACGAGGACGAAATTTCGGAATGGGACGCTTGGGGAAAAAAAATGGGGGCGATCACACCAAGACCAAGAGGTGAGCGGGATTCCTAAAAAATACGCCAACCTCTTTTATGTAACTTCGGGCCTATAGAAGCATTTTTGTCGTTATCCGAGGGGGTCAACTATACGCATGGGTGAGTTCGAGGGGTGTACATTATCTTCCCACGATTCTTCGGCATCTCTCTAGCGACCTCAAATCTCAATATTTTGCGTCATTTTGGCTGACGACATGCCCCCATTTTCGTATATGCGCTAAATATTCAGATAGTTAATTTGGCAAACCGAGGGCAGTGGAGTGAATTAAAGTGTTTTTGATTCCCATCAAGAAAGGGACGAAAATTGATCGCGATTTCTCAGTTTCGATCGGCATCGTTGTGGCCGGTCAACGCTTTCATAATTTTCTGGAATTTTGCAGGAAGAATTAAACATATCATTCCTGGCTTTTACTTGGTACCAGTCATTTTGTTGCCCGCTGGCGGGGCAGGGTGTACGGTGGGAAAGGGTCCCAAAAGAGGTATGTGTCCGGGATTTGATTGCCGATCACCTCTTGACCAAGACTTTCTGAAAACGGAAATGCCTAGCCCTCCATCAAAACCGGATACGTGCGCAAAAAAATCAGACAGTGCCAACATATTCGGAAATAGCTGTAAGAAAAAGCGAGCGGTGCTGTCGGCATCCCGGCTTGATCTCGGACCATCTCGGGTACGGCGCCCCACCCCCACGGGCGCCACTCCTGAGTTTCCGCCTCAGGCTCCTATCCGAATTTGGGCATTATTCTCGGCAGCTTCACCATCCCATCAGATTCATCAAACTTCCCTGTCAACGATCAAACGATCATCAAAAAAAAACTCTCCTTCCCCTTCTCCATTTTGCGAATTAATGGCCTAGCACCGGCCAGGATGTTCACCCCGCATGGTGGTTAATTGCCTTGGCCTTCGCATGCCCGTCGCCTTTGCACCGGCGCGCCTCTTGACTGTCTTTGACGTTTGACACTTTGTGATTTGATCCGATCACGTCACTCCCACTGCCTCCGCGTTCACAACTCTCGAGCGCAAGGACGTTGAGGAAGGTGGAGAGCTGCTTTCTTAGTTCTGGTTCATTCACAGGTAATATATTATTAGCCTCACAAAATAAAATAAAAATCCTCACTAAAAATCAATGCATTTGCTGCCGCGGAAGCCTTGAACGGGTCTGAAGGATGTTTGATGGAATGCCGAGGCTGCCGAAAATAATGTCCACATTCGGATAGGGGCCTGAGGCGGAAACTGAGCGAGTCACGGGCGCATACGGCGCGGCGCCCCCCGGCGGTGCGTACGGCGCGCTCCCGGGGGCGGGTCTCCGGTGCGCATTCTCCTCAAGTTGTGGCCACTTTCGTTATGTCAATGTCTAATGGTGCGCTAGACTGGGTTCACGTCGGTCGACACGGACCGATCGGGCGGTGATGCTGCGTGCGTCCTTCTCCTCTCCTCGTCTTTGTGTACCTACAGTAACCTGATGCCCGCACACAGAGCGCGCGCTGATCAACAGCGATTGGACCGGTGCGTCGCATCCTCCCTCCCTCTGTTAAATCCGCGGTGCTTATCGTGTACCAGCGTTCGACCTCGACACCGTCAAGCTCCTCATGACCATCTTCGACACGGACCGCAGCGGCACGACCGGGTTCAACGAGTTCGCGGGCCTCTGAAAATATATAAAGGACTAGCAGAATATCTTCAAGCACTTCGACCGCGACAGCTCCGGCTCGATCGACGTGGCCGAGCTGCGCGACGCGCTCGCGCAGTTCGGGTACAACCTCAGCCCCACCGCGCTGCGTCTCGCGCAGCTCAAGTATGGTGAGCCTGCCTCCCTTTCCTTTCTACTGCGAGTGCCGACCGCTCAGTCGTCGACCCTGTCACTAAAGGCTCCGCTGCCGCCGCGGGGGGGGGGGATGCCTGGAATGCCGGGACACGCAGGCGGAGGCGGGCTCACGGGCATCTCGTTCGACCGCTTCGTGCGCGCGTGCGTCGTAGTGAAGCAGCTGAGCGAGGCGTTTGGAAGGCTCGACGCGGATCGGGACGGGTGAATCCAGATTGGGTACGAGGAGTTTATGGAGACGGTGCTGAGTTTGCCGTAGGGGTGGGCGCCGAGCCTGCGAGGAGTGCGGAAAGGTTGAGACGGCGAGCGCGAAGAAAAGAGTGAAGGGGAAGGGGAGAGGAGGCAGGTGTAATCCAAGCAAACCGAGTTCCGTTTTCGTTTTATTTTTTTCTTCTTCTCCATTTCCATCTCTCTTTTTCCGTCTCTCCCTCTCCCTCTCCGTATCTGTTTCCTCCGTTAAGTAATAAACACTGTATGTATGTACGACCGCGACCGGGTACCTCTGCGCCTGAAAATTGTGTTGTGTTTTGCTGTAGCTTGTAACTTTCTGATCCGGGGCACTTGCAAGCGAGGCAATTGCGGACGAACATACTGGGAGGTTTACTCGGAGGTTTCGGAAGCGTGCGTTTGGCTGGAGGACTGGAGGGGCTCGCGAGTTCGATGGTCGTTCTGAATCGCAACGCAACTCGGGATTCAGCCGGGGGATTGGGTCTCGATACTTGATATTGGGAGTGTATTTGAACATTTGACGCTAGCACATACTTCGTGGGGTGTCGTTGCCGATTATTTGCTGTAGTCTCAGGAGACTCAGGAGGTCGGGTCGGGACAACGGACAAAGAACAAAACACAAAACACAAATCAAAAATCAAAAATCAAAATCGAACAGAATTGAGATGTGAATGGAAATGGCCTGACCCGGAGTCGAACCGGGATCATCTGCGGCAAGGGATTTCAGCGCTAAGAAAAGCAGGGCATTAACCGTTATGCTATCATGCCATTCCTCTATGGGACTATATACAGGCTAAAACGGGGAGGGAGGGAAGGCGGTGTAGACTTGGTTCCGGGTTATTTTCTTCTCGTTTCCTACTAGAGCGGACGAACCTACTGGGATGGAGGTATTGGACTTGGAGGTGGCAGCCTGCGTTCCCGGAGATCGATGGTCGTTCTAACTTACTTCTGAATCGCAACTCGCAAGTCGGGATTCAGACGGAGGATTGAAACTTGGGTATTGGATAGGGAGTGTGTCTCGCTACTGCTACCTGAACATCTGACGCTCGTGAGGCGTTGGGTGCGGGGGTACGAGCAGGACGTCGGGATCTCGGGACAAAAAAGAAGATGAAAAAAAAGAGGTGTGGGTAATTGGAATGGCCTAACCCTCCGTCATGTGTGATTGTGCCTAACTAAAGCAGGGGCACTAATCGTTATGCTACCAGGCCATTCCGGGACGTCATATCAAACATTATTTCAGTGTTTACCCGGGACGTCATATCAAATACAAACACGGGACGGAAGCATAGTTCCGGTTTATTTTCTTCTCATGTCCTATTCCTATCTCCGCTCCTCTTCCTCTATCTCTCTATGTCTGCTCCGCTCCTCGAATACAAAGGTACTTAACAGAGGTATGTACGTGTAAAACCAAAACCGGCCTAAGAAAACATTGTTGTTGCTGTTGTTGTTGTGTTCGTGCTACGGTGTAAATTGAACTGAGTGATCCCAAGTAGTATGTATATGTTGAATCGTCCGAGGCCATGCACGGTGAATCGTTCTGCACCTGCGGATTGCGGGTACCTCGGACGTCGGGAGCTGCCACATCGTCATCGGGACGCAAAGCGTAGTACTAGAAGGGCAATGCGATCCGATTGGTCGTTCGTTCGTTCTCAGGTCGGAGCTTCGTTTCAAGTCGGGGCATTCCAATCCAATTCCTGGGAGTGCGTTGGTTGATATAGATAGGGCCCTCCGGGCAGCTCTGGTCCCTCTCTTCAAGTGAGCTGAGTTTTGAAGATACAGTAATATTACTAGTAGTAGTCATGTTTTTAGTTTCGGGGTGAATGGCGTGCCGCCCTTAGCTGCTCGTCGCCGACCTTAGGTCGCTCCTCGCGGAACATGCGGCATATGATCTCGAGATTAATTTGAAAGTGTTTAAAGGACGGTTCATATGGGAGAGGACAGAAGCTTCCGATCCTCAACTGTGAGCGCTCAGTACCCCCTAAAATTTGATTCAAACCCGCACTTGGATGCTGGAGAAAACGACAACGGTGAGACTTTTATTTTACCTTCAGTTTGAAGACAGAAAGTCGAGATGTTGGTGTTATTGTTACTGTCGTTGGTGTAACCCTAACCTTTGATGCAGACGGACAAAGACGGACGCACAGACAGACATAAGCTCATTACTGATCTGAGACCTGGAACCGGTAAACCAGAACCAGGAACTTCTGTAAGGACAACAATACAAAGAAAGTAAAGTAAAAAATGAAGCCTGCCGCGACGTGCACAGTATCCGCCTTCGTGTCTTGTGACCGCATTTTCAGCACGCTGCGCAGGTACATACAATCTGTGAGAGGATCGTGCGCGGTGAATAAAATGCGGAGATGCAGTGAGAGATATGTCCAAGAAGAATAAAGGACGAAAAAGTTGAAGGAAGTAAATCTGATAGATATGTTTTAAAGGTAACAGGGGCATTAACCGTTGTGCTATCAGGACACATCCTGATGGAGTACTGCGCGAGCTACAGAATGGATGAGAAACTGGAGTTCACATTGGATTGTGGGAAAAGCGTGAGGTCTTTTGCAGCAGAGGCACTAGCCGCATCCTCTGTGTTCAATTCTCAGATCCGCTCTGGATCTCCCGGGCGGAGCTCTGTCGACTGGAGGTTGGAATGACAGTAATAGGTAAGTAAAGAAAAAAAGACTGATTGGAAGGGGGACGGCCTGACCCGGAATCAAACCGGAATCACCTGCATTAATTAATTACACTCCCTCAAATAAAGCAGGAGTACTAGCCATTGTGCTATCAGGCCGTACTCAGGGTGTTATTTCACGAGTAATAGAAAGAAATAGAGTTTGCCGAACCGGATTAAAAGAAAACTTAAAGCAGGAGTCGAACGGGATCTTCTGCATAAACACTACGGGCCGGCCCTGGAAACAGTGCGAGCAGCCCGAATCCTCTGCACTGTGCATCCAATTCTCATAGCTCCGGATCCAAGACAAGACCGCGGGCACGCAGTAATCTCCGAATCAACCGTATGAGTACACTTGAACCGGATCTAAACGCGGAGCTGGCATCTGGAAAGGAGATACACGAGGGTGATCGCGAAGGTATGTGTACAGGCAGCGGACTTAATATGAGCTTGGGAAGGGGACGTATTTGCAATAAGAGCTGGCTTGATGTTCTGGATTCTGGGCCTCAGGATGCTTTCAACACTCATAGACTTGGGATGCCCGTACAGATTTCTTTTTCGTTCTTGCAATTGTTCTTATGGCGAACGAAGTACACATGGGTGGGCAGGGTGCGAGTCAATTTCCGGCCTCCGTGTCAAAAGATTCATCAACCAGAAAGCATGCCGCCGGGGGGAATCGAACCCCCGCCTCCCTCGCATACAGGTGTGGGCACAGGTGATTGAATGACGGCGACCACCACGGTCCACGACGGCTGATTCTGTTCCATAGGTGAGCGTCGAGTTGAATCAGACACCAGTGAAGCAAAAAACGAAAAGTGGTGGGCGCGAAAGACGGTGCCGTCGGGAGGAATCGAACCTCCCATTCCTTTCTGGCAAGATCACTTGCAACGCCTTATGGAGGGAGGCATGGTCCACGACGGCTGTTGTTCAGTAGTATATATGGGCTTGAGTGTCAATGGCGGAGAAACGAAAGTCGCAAACGGGAAAGAAATAGGCATCAAGTACAATGTGACCGGGAGCAATCGAACCACCTTCTACCTTACACCATCAAAGTGAAGTTGCGATCCATCTCCACTACTGCTGATATTGATAGATTCGTGAGCTGTGGTATGAATGTACCAATAGGGCCAAGTACTTAGATGCGAGATATACGATACAGCTGATAACAGAAGAATCGAAAATTCAAATCAAGTAAACGAGGGCCACTACGACCGTACCTTCCGATGGATATGTGAGTTATGCGCGCAAAATCGCCGGAGTCGGAAATTAGTATGAACTTCTGAGAAGGAAAGGATGATGCGATGCAAAGGGTACTTGAACTTGATCGGGTCACCCGTCAAACCGTGTGAATCAAGGTGATCGATCACTCGATCATTCGGGTGCCATCAAAAGTAACTTATGAAAATTAACTTAGCCAGCAAAAATTTACTTTACTTTACTTATGGCAGGGTAAGTTAACTCCGCAAGTAAAGTAAAGTATAAGTACAAGTTAAGTGAGTGAAAGTAACTTGTAAGTTCCATCAAAGTAAGTTGTGCCATGTTTGCTCCGCCTAACTTTTGGCTAACTTTGGGCATTTCGGCGCATTTAAGACCTCTCTAGGCACGATCTGTGCAGTAGAAATGATACATTCGGGTGTAATAAACATGTGAGGCACAGTACTACCATTATTCGACCGTGCCCAAGGGAAAATCCCAAATCAAAACCCCTGTCTCCCAAACTTGTGTCTACATTCTTGATTCCCTCACTCTGAATCAATGGCTAACAACTCAGTGTGATGCTATTTAGATATGGTGGTTGCATCTCACTTTTGTGGACCCACTGGAAAGCGGGTGAGCATGCAGTTCAACATTTCATTACATGTAATTCAATAACGAGTACTAAGCTCTGAATAAATATAAACACTCAATAACGAGGGGAGTCCGAATATCGAGCAGTAAGTGAGGCCCGGCCCTCCCCCATTCTCGATGGATGTATCCCACTCCCCGTGAGGGATGCAAAACGAGCGTCGAGAAGTCACGTACATATCTTCCCAACGAGGTTCTCAGGGTGTTTAGAGAAAGTACTGAATGGAAATACATGATTAGGGTCCCCCAGGACACCGATTCCCCCCACTATGTGCCGCGATCGTGCGCAATGCACTCGTGCAGCGGAGATTGATGGCATAAGTGAACTTTTGGTGGGAATTGATGCCATCTGATGGGACAAGTTACTTTCTTTGATGGCACTTGGCAGGCAAATTCGCTTAAGTTACGTGGGTGAACTTGAACAAACTTTAGTACTGTAAGCTTATGGTAAGTAGAACCAAGTTTCAATGGCCCCACTCAACTCATAGGAGAAGCTGAGTCAATTTACCGACCCGTAGAATACGTGGAATGAGCAAATTGAGCAAGAACACTGTGAAGTAAGGGAATTTGGGAATTCAAGGGAACAGCTTGGTCCCATGATTGCTGCAGAATGTACAAGTGCATTTGAAACGGTGCACAAGTGATGCAAGTGTATGTTCTAGGTTGAACGGGCTTGTGGGATAAATGTTTGCCTCAACAACGACGTCCAACACTAGAGAATTCAGACAAAGAACTGGGGTGATTTGCAGAGAGTGGGGGCCGCACCAAGCCACCATATTTTATAACCGGTCCACCCTGGACGGGGGCGTTGTTTGATTTGAATAATGTGTCCCTTGTTTAATATTCAGACTCGGAACTCAACTCAAGGAGGGCGAGAAACCAGCGGAAAGATCTATTTATATCACCTAAGTATTTACTCAAGTTGAAATGATTAGACATGCATTCTGATCCACACAGCTGCTACACTGCTAAATGGACTCACCTTCCATGGTCAAAGTTCACGACTCTACTCCCCAAGAAGGATGCATGAACTTCAATGATGATGAAGAGTCTTTACCCCAAATATCATCAAGGGTGATGTAGAATACAGCATGTACCACTGAAACTTCCTCTGAACACACCAACAAGGATGATAGAACTCGGCACAATTAGGCGTGAGGTGGAGTTTGAAATAAGTTAAATTCAGCAGCCGTGGGAAAACTTAAGTAACTTGCGGCATGTCAAGCCGAAGGGGTAAGTAAAGTACAAGTTAGTTCAAATAAGTTACTTTTTGCACACTCGATCATTCGGCATCGGCAAACACCTTTGCGCTTTTGCTCTTGACCGCCATTTGCTCGCCCTCCACCCGTGAACGTCCTTGCTGGATGAATCTCGGCGTTTCCATGCAGCATTCTACACGACGCCTTCCAGTCCTAGCGTGTGCTCGGGAGTCCTTCGATCCAGCTAGACTCCGAGTCGATGTCTGAGACACCCCTCGCCAGTCTCAGCTATCCGCACAATCCAGGCCTAGCGATTCTGCTCTCGACTGTACTGGAATCCAGACATAACATCCTAGCATATGAGTCTCCCGAATTGCCCGTGAGACAAGCCCCCTCGTCAAATGATATAAAAGGGCTACGTTCTGACGGTAGCATTTCCATATCTCTCATCTAACAACTTAAGAACTTCACAATGCTTACCAATACCTCTCTCACTCTCCTGCTCACCGCTTCTGTCGTCCTTGGCGGTCCTACTATCGCCAGACACAGGTGAATTTCCGTCTTCATTCCTTCTCGCTCCCAATTCTAACTTCTTTTCAGAGGATGCGCGACTCATATTGAGCCCGAGGACATCGTCATCGCGGAGCGTCACTTTGACGCTAACAAGACCGAGACGGACAAGATTGCCAACACGGCGGTCAAGGTCTTTACTGTTTCCCTACTGGCAACACACCTTCTAACAGCACCTTAGGTATATTGGCACGTCATCAGCAAAGACTCGACGTTAGCTGGTGGAAATATTCCGTACGTTTTCACTCCTCCCCCAACTGCGACTTCCAACTGACATGGCAAATCCAGCGACTCCCAAATTGCGAGCCAGATCCAAACGCTTAACAACGACTACGCCGGGAATATTACTTGGACTCTTGCAAACACAAACCGGACGGTCAACGCCGACTGGTTCAACAACGCCGGGCCCTCCACGTCGCAGCAAACAGCTATGAAAGCTTCGCGGCAGGGCGGAAAGGGCGATCTCAACGTGTACTCCGTGGGGTACGCCGATTTCTGGCATTCATCGAAACCAACTCATCATCGTCGGTAGATTCGTCAACGGCTCAGGCGCCGGTCTCCTCGGCTACTCCACATTCCCGTCCTCATACAGCGGTGCGCCGCAGGATGACGGGATCGTCATCCTATTCTCCAGCGTCCCCGGCGGCTCGACGAATGGCTACAACCTTGGACGGGTACGCCGACTCATCTCACTTCATCCCGCAGATTCTAATAACTTCGCAGACACTCACTCACGAATCTGGACACTGGCTCGGACTGTACCACACCTTCCAGGGTGGGTGCGCAGGATCCGGTACTGCCACCGCAGGCGACTACGTCGCCGACACGCCCGCCGAGTCCTCCGCCGCCTCAGGCTGCCCCTCCGGCCGTGACACATGCACTGGCACTAGCTTCCCTGGCGCAGATCCCGTTAGTGAGTACCCTTCCTCTTTCCAAGTCGTCGGAGCACATATTAATATGGACATCCAGCGAACTTCATGGACTACTCCTCCGACGCCTGCATGACACAGTTTTCCGCGGGCCAGATGGCCCGAGCGACGACGCAGTTCTCAACGTATCGGACGTGAAACTGGGTTGTTTGCTGGGCTCGTCGGAATTAGATAATTCAAAAACACTAAAATGCTTCCTTATTTGGCGGCGTCTACATCTGGCGCTGAATGAAATATTTCCTCCCTATCATGCTCTCCAATTTGTGCGGCGCAAGATTAATTTTGTCCTGTCTACCAGCCAACTCTAGTTTCCGGGCAAGGCTTCAAGAATTCTCCTCGCGTCTCATCGTATCTGACGTTCTGTATCAGTTGTTTGGCTTCTTCAAATTCGAGAGTCAGCTCCGTGGAGAGCCTATTGAGGGGCGGATTAACGCACGCAGGAATAAGGATTTGGGAAGCAAGATAGCATACTCGGAGGATAAGGCAGAATCAAATAAATTCTGCTCGAAGGGATCCTTGGCCAGGTAGGAGTGAATCTTGGCCCCAATTTAATATGCGGACGGCGTGATAGCGTGAG